AGTGTACATCGATATATATTTTTTCTATGAAAGGATCGGGTAAAAGTAAACAGGAGCATTGAAACATTTCTTGTATTTGAAGACCCTACATAAAATCTTATGAACGACATATTTTAAAATATTTGTATGTCGGAAAATATTTGTTTGTGATATTTAGTCAACTGTGAATGAAAATAATAAATAAATTTTTAACAAAAATGTTACTCATAGAACTTTACTGAACATTTTGACCATCATGTTCGATAGGTTCCAGAAGTCGTGGGTCTACATCTTCAAATTTTGTCTATGCTTATTACGATGTCCACACCTTTGACAGGATTCGAACGAAAAGTTATATCTAAAGTTGAAAGGATTTTGACCTGATGGATGCTCATATATTCTCGAAATACTATACGAATAAAAATTTCTTGCGACCATTTTTTTTTACCTTAAATATTTCTCCTCTCAAAAAAAGTAGTATTATTTTTCCATATTAGATTTCAAACCTAATTCGTTTCATCATTTAAAACACAAACATATATATATACAACATTATTTGTATTTTACTACTATCATGACATCTTCAAGTACAATCTGTATGCAAATACTGTATTGTATTTGTTGTTATGTTTATCAAACTTTTTTTCTCAATTGTAACAAACGACAGATGTTTTTTCGGATTCATTGAAAAAAGTCATTTAAGTTTAAGACATACATTTTTGAACATCTGTGTTTAATCTACATTTGGATTGAAATGATGATAGTTAAACTTTATCCACAAACATTTGTGTATAGCAAACTTAATAACGAAAAGGAGGGAAGAAAGGGTAATGCTTTTAAAAATTTATGAATGGGATAAATATTGGATTAAATTGTATTCGATCTTTTTATCTATTTAAAACGTTTTATAAAATACACATTTAAAATCAGTGAGCAGTATAGTCGGACGAGGCCGACCATATGATACCCTACACAAATTCCACGAAAATATAACTTTATGTGGTTCTATATTCTGACCTGGGGCAATATTTCGCGATATTTGCAATGTAAAGGTCAACCACTCCTCTTGGATATACTATCTTCTGGGGTCTATGTACTTCAGGGTTAAATATATACGCTATAGAATATAGGACGAGGCCGACCATATGATACCCTACACAAATTTCACGAAAATATTACTTTGTGTGGTTCTATATTCTGACCTGGGGCAATATTTCGCGATATTTGCAATGTAAAGGTCAACCACTCCTCTTGGATATACTATCTTCTGGAGTCTATGTACTTCAGGGTTAAATATATACGCTATAGAATACAAATTTTGTTATTTTTCACACAAAAGTCAGGGTCCATTTGACCCGCTAAATATTGACCGATCTTTATCATGGTCATAATTGCGGCCTCTGGAGCGACCAGGAAATCAGATAAAAATAAAGTGTTTGGTCCATTTCATCCCCTAAATAATAACCGATCTTTACCAAAAACAATAGGGGTCTTCATTGGAGAGAACACATCCTGCATACACAATTTTGTGAAGATTAGTCCATAACTGTGGCCTGTATCGTGTTTACAAATTATAAAGGACAGTTGGACGGACACACATGTCTAGATCGACTCAGCTAGTCGAGATATGACGATCGTCAAAATATATTTTTCATAACCCACACCTTCATGAAAAATATATTTTGACAATGATCCCTGACCCTTAAAACTATATATTGTTCAAATCCACTCCTTCAATAGATTTTGAAAACATATATTTGTAACCAGTGAGCGAAGCAGTATAGTCGGACGGGGCCGACCATACGATACCCTACACAACTACCACGGAACTCAAATTTTCTGCGGATGTTTATTCCGAGCCTGGGCAATATTTCGTGATATATGCACCCTCTTGTCCGATGACTGACATATTTTCCAAATATTACACGTATTCAGTACAGCTATTGTCCAGATTCCCTTCACCATGGGTTGTGTTGTGATGTTCGCCTTTCATTTGTGGTCTATAGATCGACACGAAAATAACACAAAAAATTAAGTTTTCGGTTCACTTCATTCCAAAATTATTATCTGATCATCACCGAAAATGATAGGCGTTGTTCTTGACCATAACTGGAACCTCATGGAACATTTCAAAGCGATCAGCGCTATAGTTCTGCTCTCTAGAGTCATAATGGTTTTCTAAATAATATAAAAATACAGTGATACCTGTAAATATTTACGTGTAACTCCCACATCGGAGCACATACAACATTATAATTGGCATTAATTTAATGGTCAACCACTCCTCTTGGATATAATGTCAACTTCTCGGGTCTATGTCCTCCAGGGGTAAATATATACGCTATAGAATACAAATGTTGTCTTTTTTCACTCAAAAGTCAGAGTCCATTTGACCCGCTAAATATTGTCTGATCTTTATCAAAACAGGAATGCTTATTCTTTGGCCCGATCCCCTTCTCCATGCTAAATTTCACGATGTTCGGACCATAACTGCGGCCTCTGGAGCGACCAGAAAAACCGATAAAAATTTAGTATTTTTTCCATTTCATCCCCTAAATATTAACCGATCTTTCCCAAAAACAATAGGGGTCTTCGTTGGCCAGAACCCATCCTACATGCAAAATTTCGTGAAGATTGGTCCGTAACTGTGGCCTGTATCGTGTTTACAAATTATAATGGACAGACGGACGGACGGACACACATGTCTAGATCAACTCAGCTAGTCGAGATCTGACGATCGGTATACTTAAAGGTGGGTCTAGGACCAATATTTCGCGGCGTTACAAACTTTTGGGGCTGCACAAAGCTATAATACCCTGACAACATAGTTGTGTAGGGTATAAATATGTGTTTAAAGATCCACGTCTTAATAACGCTTGCAAAAAATATACTTTTAAAAGCCTATTAAATAAATAGCCCTCAAAAATATATATTTTTAAAATATATATCTTAATTTTTTTTAATTTACACATTTAATAACCCTTGTAGAATATAGCCCTGGAAAAAATACATTTTTAAAAATTATTCATCAATATAAAGATATATTTTAAAAATCCATAACTTCAATAGCCTAAAAAAATACATTTTTAATATGTTATCAGAAAATCTTAGAAAATATTTCATTTGCATCACCAATTCAGTTATTCAAAGTTGTAAAAATTCAAATTAATTAAAAAAATATGTTATTGTTTTTATGTAAGTTTGAAAAAAAAATGTAGTAGTTTTTCAAAAATTATTTTTTCGATGATATTTAAACACTCTTATGGCTACAAAAAAATGATTGAATTATACTTGAAAAAATTTTTCACATGCCTAAAAGTTAGTCAATTGATATAAATTTGCCATCCACAATATATTCCCCATTTTTGTTAAAGAGTTGCAAATGAAACAATAAATACCGTGTAATATTTCCTGTGCAACACAATAAAACTTTAATTACAAGTGTATACACCCAAATTCCCACCATCCTTCCATCGGACACATAATTCTCCGAAAAGAAGGAAATATTAGCCTCTAACAAAAAATAATTGCAGAAAAATAAATAATCCGCTTAACACACAAAAATATGTCCTCCAAATTTTATGTTTGATTTGCAATTTATTTTTTATTTACAACACCACTCTATAATAGTTGTGAAGGAATAAAAAAGAAACAAAAGACTTAAGAAACGAACCTTATGTTAATTTATCATAAATTTTCTTCAACAGCTGCAATTTTCAATTATATACAGTCTAACAGCACAAAAAATACAACATCATATAAAAATAAACACGTGAGAAAATTGAAAAATATTCAAGCATAAAAACAATAACAACAACAGCAGCAACATGATCATCAACAACACTTGGGTGAAGCTCCTTATGGGCATGGTAAATTTTTATGATAAAGAGTGATTATAAATTAATTGCATATTTGATGTGATGGCTATGACTAGATAAAATTAATAGAAAATAAAATTGAAATGAATGAAGAGAGAAGAAAGGAGAGAGATAAAGTGTTGAAAATTTGCAATTGTTCGATAAAGTAAATGATGTATTTTCAACAATGAAAAATAGTTAATATTAAAAACTTTTCTCTAAAAATAGTAACATAAGCAAAACACCACTACAACAACAGCATTAAATTCGTGTTGTGTACTAAACATATGAAAATCTTTTCCATTTGCCACCAGGTCTTTGGAATAACAAACATATGGACTTTTTGTCTTAATGTATATTTGTGATTATTCTCATAAAGCATCAGCATAAGAAAATAAATCTTCATTATTTGTATGAAAAATCACGAATTCATCAACTGGTTACTGGAGATAAATCTTCGAATAAAAACAAAAATACAAAGAAAAACAAATCAAAATAAACAAAAAGTAAAAAAAACAAATACCCAACAACAACGAAAAAATTGCGGGTAGTTGAGGTTTGAAAAAAAGTTTATAAACCCAAGTCAAGTATACGTCTATCAGCCAACAACCAGTAAGCCAGTAATTGCATGTACCACAAATCAGCCATCAAACAAACATTCATCCCGAGAGTCAGCAGCAGCACAAATAAAAAAACACACACACAGCTGTTATTGTAGCAGCAACAACACAGCAGCCGCTGCCGCTTTACATAGTTCAACAACATTTGACGTGTTGCCGCGCGCAATATGTAGTACGTTATTTTTGTGCATTAAACTTAAATTTACATAATTTAAAGAAAAAAAATAAAATAAAAACAATCGCCATCGTCAACAAACTTCAACAGCCAGCCAGTTCAACCACAAAATATTTCAAATTGGTATTTTGGGGGAGAAGACAAACAATTTCACTCGATACCTTTTTTATCTAATCAGCTATTAGTAGTGCACACATAATAATAATACCCTGCATAATAGCATAGCAACATAGAGAACATTGGCTTCTTCGAGCCTTATGAATATGTTGTTAACACCCATATTAACAACGACGAGTAAAAGAAAAATGTCATCACCACTGGGGAATAACTTCAAATTGGAGGGCCGTGAAAGAGTTGGAGTCTTATGGTTATGGATGCTGTTAATAATGGTCACATTGCGTGACACATCATGTCAAGGTAACGAACTTTTTCATATTTATATTTTATTTTTTTTTAGTTTAATAAGATGAACGTTATTTTTCTTTAATTTATTATTAAGTGCTCGTTATTATTAAATGTATTAATTATTTGCGAAAATTGAACATTTGATTAGTGTTTACACAATATGGAATAATAATTAAGAGTGTATTTATTTATAGCAATAAATTTTTAATTGAAGCATATAATGTTTGCATACCAGGGACGTGGTAAATCCACATAATAAATATCATACAAATGACCATATATGAGGTGAAACTTTGTATACCCATGTGGGTGCATTCAATATTTCTTAACTTTTATACACTCAGGTTAAACGGGATCTAAATAGGCGGGCTCTTTATGTGGAGCAATGGAGGGGGAGAAAACATTGATTAGCTTTTTTTTATTTTTTGAAAAACAATATATTACCTTGGTAATAGGTGATGGCGACAGAGGCCTGTGTGCTTAGACGTTGGAGGGTAAACGACAAGTCAACTGATCGCAGAGGATATTCTTATCAATTGTTCCAATAGGAGAGTGGATATATGTAACAAATTGAGCAAAACAATCATCACTATGTCTTCTCCTCAGAGGGATTTATAGAGGAGATGCCAGTAATGTCAATCAGCATTCGTGATTGACTGAGCTCGTGTAGTTGATGGGCAAAATATCTAGTTTATACAGGGGTTATGTAAATACATAGATGTATATTAGAAATTTTATTGAGAGGCCGTTTTCGACTCACCAACAATTGGGAATGTCGGAAATACAGCCACTTGTGTGAGAGAATTCAGGTAAAACCCTCAAATTACAGAAAGTTAAGCGTAATCTTTATTTGGGGGCTATGCCACACCATGGACCTACATTGATCATTTTCTGTGTAGATGTATGTAATCCTCCCAGAACCCGAAATCCCAATACATAACCACTTCTATTGGAAAATGCGTATAAAATTATCAAAATACCGTGAATGGGAACCATACCAAAACGTGGGGAGTTATTGATCACAATACCAAAGTGTTGGTACTTCAGTGGGAAAGTGTGACTAAAGTTGTCAAAATGTTGAAAATAGAACTGGACATTTGTATATGGACTTAATTTGATCAAGAATATATGCACTTCGTATTCGAAGATTTATTTGGCCGATTTCTGCTTTGTTTCGGGTTCATTTCGAATGTATGCTCGTGTAAGAAATGTTCAAGGATTTCGGGGTGTGATTCTCCGTTTTTGAGAGAGCGTCATTAGTCTTTGAACTAGCGTCGGTCAGGACTGAATCCTTTAACGCCATACAAAGATTTTATGTCATCAATGCACTCTTATCGTGATGGTCCCTGTTGAATGTTGTGAAAAGTGGCCGCACGAAAATGTTAATTTAATTCTTTGGCAAATTAATTTTAAGTTAATGTGAACAAAACAACACATGACAATACTTACAAGAAATGCCAAATAGTCCATAATCATTAAAATTATTTTTAAAACCTACGCCTCTCATTGTCCTAGAAAAATATATATATTCTTATTCACGTTTCTATAAGCCGTATTTTTCAAATGCACACCTTTAATTGTCTACATTCCGAGCCTATGCGACATTTGCACTCTCTTTACCCCTCAACATCTCCGCTGCGGCATCTTTTCCAAATCATACTTTCCCAGAGTAAAATAATCCATAAGATGCAAGTTTTGTTATTTTTTACAAAAAATGTTATTTCATTGACCCGTTAGATATTGAGACAGCCATTCGAATTAGTTGGCATTCCCCATGGACATTTTGTGGTGTTCGGCTTATAATAGTGACCCCTAGAACGACTAAAAAACCACACAAAAATAAAGTTTTCGGGCTAAATGTTACCTGATCATTAAAGGTGTCGCCCTTGACTATAACCGGAACTGCAAGCAAAATATCAAAGACATCTAGTAGGGCTGTAGCAATTGAAAGGTCAATCACTCTTCTTGAATGTACTGTCAACTCCTCCGGCCTATACCCTTTAGGAGGAAATATATAAGCCATAGAATGCAATGTAAGTATTTCTCACACAAAAGTCTTGGTCCATTTAAACCGCTAAATATTGACCGTTCTTCAGAAAAACAGACAAAAATGAAGTGTTTGGTCCATTTCATCCCCTAAATATTAACAGATCTTTGCCAAAAACTTCTTTGGCCGAAGCGGTTCTACATGCAAAATTTTTTGAAGATTTCTCCATAACTGTGGCCTGTAATTTGTTTACAAATTATAATGAACAGATGGACGAACGGACCGACACACATGTCTAGATCGACTAAGCTAGTCGATATAGTAAACTGTATACAAAAAGGTGGATCTAGGACCAATATTTTGCGGGGTCACACAAAGTTCTAATACCCTCACAACGTAATTGTGTAGGGTATAAACATAGTTTTTATTTATAAATCCACTCATCTATAGTCCTAGAAAAATACGAATTTTTTTTAAAAAACTTGTTGGATAGTCTTTAAAGGTATTTCCATATATATCTATATTTTTTTATAATCACGACTCGAATAGATCTTCAAGCATAGTTTGTTCATTTTATTTTTATTTTCATGGAAAACATATTTCACCCTCCGAGAACACAAAATGCATATTACAGCTACATATATTAGAAAATGAGACCTATGTAAAACAATTACATTGTACTCTAACTTATAAATACATATAAGGCTATGTTTTCAAATTGTTAGGATCATGAAAGTAAAAACAAAATTGTAAGTAAGAGTTGCAAAACGCCTCCAACACATTTCTCCCCTGCGAATGAGCATTCGAACCACTTAACAAACAAATTTCAAGTTAATCATTTCATTTTTGTTTGTTAACTTTCAAAAAATCATATCAATAATGGTTTCAAAAGTATTCCACTTAATTTTAAAGTAAGTTTTTACTTTTTCTGCAAAAACATTTCAATTTGAAAAGAAATATTTAATGGTCTTCATTGATATACCAATTACAGACAATGCGTTTTGAACAATTTCGCTTTCATTCAAATATTTTTTCATACCCCCTACTTATCGGCAATCTTCAGACGTCTCTGTGTGTGGGTTTCGTTTTTTTCGGTGTTTACATTGATTTTCGCATGTTCAACAACACAACACCAATTGGTGTTAGCTGCCAAAAATAAATCTAGAATAACACATTAAAGTGTATCAAAAATCAAACGGAAGTATTAACACGTTTCACAATATTTGCCCATTACTTCACACACAATGATGGAATAATAGCATAAAAAAAAGCAATCCTAGCGTAAAAACACTTAATAATATGAATCATAGAAATAAAAAAGATACTTATGATTGCCACCCTCTCGAATGGGTATAAAAACAAATTGATTAGAATTTATATATTTCATATTTCATCAAAAGACGAGACTACTAAATTTTTAAGTGCCCATTATTTCAAAATGAAAGGAAATATACCACTTTGTAGCTTTTTAATTTGCCCATAGTCAACAAAAAAATAATTCCCCGAAAAATCAAAAAGAACAAGATGATGATGTGAGAGAAAAAAAAAACACACAAAACTAGCCTAAGAAAACAATTTTATCTACATTGACCTTCATGGTTGGTTGGGTTGGTCTAATGTGAGCGGTCGTTTTTTCATCGTTCACAAAGAAGCTTCAGAAAAACACCTCCTCCGACAGTGCCCAATTTTTCACATGCTAGTTATGTTTTCATCGTGAATGTGCAAAAAATAAGCACACACAAAACGGAAATATATAATTTTTCTCTTTTGGTTGAGTGTGAGCTTCTGACAGCGTGGTGTTATAGTAAAGTTAATCTTAATGTATGTGAGTGTTGTGTGAGTGTTTATTTTTACTGTATAAACAAAATTATGTGAAATAGTTGTCAAAATTATATTAAATATATTCATGTTTGACATATATAATTTTAATTTATAGCAACTTGTTTTTTGTTTGCCAAACAAATTAACTAAAACAAAAGACTTAAGAAACAAACGTGTTCTGGGTCAAAGTAGTTTAGTCAGTGTAGCTTATGTATATGTATATAATGCAATTATGTTAGAGACGTTAGGGTGTCAAAACAATTGACATATAACAAACATGTTAATGTTAACATAAACAGAATTATAACGAAATTATTTAAATAACGGTCTGCAAATTATAACAAAGTGGTGTCAGCTAAGAGAGTTTTTATAGCATTTACCTCACTGAGGTATAGGGTATTATGTCTTTGTGCATATGTTTGTAACAGGAAAATGGAAATGAGATAGTCCCATGATTCTTGGCATAGAATCACATACTGAGTCAATTTATTTAAGTCGATTGGCACAACATTTTGCACAACGTAGGATAGTCCACCGTGTGCCAAGTTTTATTTTAATCGGTTCAGATTTAGATATAGCTCCCATATATATTTTATTCCGATTTTAGTTGAATGGTGTATCAAACTCTTCATGTCTGTTCGATTGACACCAAATTTAACACAACGTTCTAAAGATAGTATAGCCTAACATGTGTAGAGTTAAGGTATTAAATTGCGCTTAGAATATTGCGTTTTGTAAAAATTGGTTTAGATGTAAATATTGATCCCATATATATTATCGATTGACTTCATGATAATTGAGCACCAAAAATGAAATGAATTAAGATTGAATTTTGAATAGCGCTCTGTGTTGTAGCATAATTAATACTTTGATTTAAATCGATATACATAATGTTGTCCTTTTGTGCAAAAGCATTCTTAAATCTGACCTATTGAAATGGAATTTGGCATAGGTTACCGAGGACCTGTGTGTGGATTAATGTAGCCAATAAGAACTGATTGTACCAAATTTCAGCGAATTCGATTTTAAGAACCCCAAAATACGAAAAAAGGAATGGGATGTACCGTTATATGGGATCTACTAGAAAAAGTGGATAACGAATAATTAAACTTAATCAATACTATAACGGGTACAAATGTACCCGGTTAGTGATCAGTCCACATATAGATATATTTATTTTAGTCCAATAATATCTCCACAAAAA